GATCACTTTAGTGAAAGTGCTTCTCATTTTGATTTCATTGATGTATAATTTGTTGGGATTTGCTCTTCTAAAAGCACAGGTATTAAAAAACAACTTCATCTGAGATAGTCATGACTCTATCGAAAATTTTTGTTGAATAAAGACTAGTTTTCAGAACTCATCAAACATCATGGGTTTGCACAAATACTTCAGTCGAAATATCCTCATTTTAAAATGAATAGAAATGAGATATGTTAAAACTTTATCATAAATTCGATAGGAATAGTACGAAAACAGCACAAATTTATTTTTAATTATTTCCGGAAAGACAACAGCCGGATAGACCATTATTCGGTATTTTGGACAAACAATTGTCTGAGTACAGTGCGTTTCAAAAACCAAGAATGAAATCATGAGCTTGTTAAAAATGCACAAAAAGTTTTAGAAATGATGAATACATAAGCAAGCTCGTCGTCTCAAATTAAGAACAGCCTTAACAATATTCCTTCTTCTGATAGACCCGAATTGCGTGATGATATTTACTCTTAGTTCACCCACTGTGTCATATTCTCGCTCTCCATAGATTCTGTTCTTCAAAGTGCCCCACAAGAAAGTATCCAAAACTGTCAGATCAAGTGACCTTGCCGGCAACCTCACTGGTCCAGAATTTCCCAACCACCTATTAGGAAATCTTTGATGTAAATATTCGCAAATTACTCTTTTATTGTGCGGAGGAGCCCCGTCATGCCGAAACCAGCAGCAGCAAGGGAAGCTTGTATTAAAAACACCACAGTTAAAAAAAGTACTTTCGTCGGTCCAAATGATGTTTTTCAAGAAGTTTATAGGGCCTACCCTATTCACGAGCCAGCTACAAAAATCGCACCGTACTCAGCCAAGTGTTTGCCCAAAATTCCGAATAATGTTTTTTCCGGCTGTTGTCCTTCCGGATATATTTCAAAATAAATTTGTGATGTTTTCGTACTATTCCTATCAAATTTATAATAAAGTTTCAACATATTTTGTTTTTCTTCATTTGAGAATGAGTACATTTCGACTGAAGTATTTGGGGGCGACAGCTGATTAACGGAAAAACCGATTTTAAAACAGTTTTTTTAAAACAGATCGTCAGAGCATATACTTTGTGCCTGCCCCGCTGGGGACAGAATCAGGTCTTTAGAGTTCGGCAGAGCCGTACTCTTACCATCTCACCTGAAAGACCACTCACCATATATACTAATCGACGTCGTTAAGAAGCTGGATTTATTTGGCCAAATGTGGGTAGGTGTGAGCCACAATAAACACTTGCGGGTTGCGGTGAAGAGTCGAACAGACCCACTCACGTTGGTTCTAACCTAACCTAACCTAATGCTGTCAGATAACGCTAGAAAAACGAAAATACCGATTTTCAGTTTTTTCCGGATATTTCCGGAAATACTCGTAATTTATCAAGTTTCAAAACAATATTTTGTTAAGCACAAAAAAACGCATCTTTGCCTCAATTTAAGATCCTTCGTATCTCCTGTAGTTCAGGAGATCCCCATGGTGGGGGTCGAATTTGAATTACCCTTTATAAGTGAAACTCAGAAAATGTGTATCTGAAATGTTCAGATTTTCAGTTTTTTCCGGATATTTCCGGAAATACTCGTAATTTATCAAGTTTCAAAACAGTATTTTGTTAAGCACAAAAAAACGCATTTTTGCCTCAATTTAAGATCCTTCGTATCTCCTGTAGTTCAGGAGATCCCAATGGTGGGGTCGAATTTGAATTACCCTTTATAAGTGAAACTCAGAAAATGTGTATCTGAAATGTTCAGATACCTTGTTAGAACAGAAAATGTGTTACATTTGAATAATAAAATTGTAAAAATCTTTAACAATAATTCCAAAAAAATCTCCACAGACACCATTTGAAAATATTGATATTTTAGTAGAATTGGAAATATTTCATTTTGACAAGAGAATTCGCCATTTTCATTTTATTCACAAATTCATGAATTGAAAATTTGTTGTATCCTATTTTCAACGGTAAAGACAAGTCACAGATAGAAAGGTCGATATCTTTTAACTCCACTTCAAACCATCCGTTTTGTTGTTGATATAGTTAAGAAAAAAGCTTGTTATTCTGGACTTTGCAAGGAAGCATTCTGATATAATTAATATCACAACATATTTACTATATCCTGATATTTGAACTTACAGTTCAATCCCAGATCGTGATAGGTCAGAATAGCTGGTTTGTTTCTGGAACCCTGCACGGCTACAACAATGTTACCCCGATCAGTCTCTACGATTTCTTCCTGAACAGAAGAATCATCCCTCGATAATGATCGGGTGCAAGGAAATTGTAGTTGAATATTCTTCAATTCTATATCATCCATACTATCGGAAGGCATAGTTCTGAAAAACAAAATAATATTTGATAACCTGCCTTGACCATTCATCTGTAACCCGTTTAGGAACGAATACCTATAATGGCCTATGATTTTGATCAGATAAAACAACAACAAATCAACTACAGTTATACCGAGCAAAAACAAAAAAATCTATATTTTGAAGCAAATAGTGTGAAATGTTCCTTACCCCAAAAGGGCTGCCTCTTCAGCTAACCCAGAAGAAGGCATATTTCTGTTTGTGTTTATGTTTGCACTATCAGTCCTAAAACAAGAAAAAAGAACGAACATACCATCTACTCCTACGTAATAAAATTCCAGTATTGGGAAATCTTTTTCGGTTGTGAACAAAACTACCAAATCGTGAACAATTACATTCAAGGAGTCATTCCGTTGCGAACTAATGCAAACATTAAAACTCTATCAGAGTTGAATAAACAAATATAGCATGCACATTTGCGACTAAGTGTTCAAATGAGAATAAAGCTGATTGGTATGAATTATTAGGGGATTGTGCCAGACAAGGTTTGTCGACAAATTTGAAATTAATTCATGTCTTGATGATTTGTCCATAACCATTCAATAAGTTATTTGCGTGTTGAAATGAAAACTGAATATATATAAAATAATATAATTTTTGGTCAAATTGAAAGGACTAAATAATACACTTTATCGTATGATTTTTCGCAACAATTTTGACAATTTAATTGAAAGGGTATATTTTAAGGAGANTAACGGGGCAAGATATCCAAGTCGTACAAAATTTTTTTATGAAAATAAATCATTTTAGAGTTTTTTTGATAAAAAACGAATTGTGAAACATCACTCGCATCAGTGAAGGCGCTATCAACTTTATTTTTCATATAGAAAAGGGACTTTTGTGACCCTTAGGCAGGCATTTACCAGAATCTACGGTGTAGGAGTTTTGGAAAGAATGAATGTTTCGGGATTTAATTTCGAAATCTTCATTTTCTTATAATCAAGATGAATTCGAGAATCCAATTATATTCCAACAAGACGGTGCGCCTCCACATTATTTTAGGCGTATAAGAGATTGGTTGAATCAAACATATTTAGGCATATAGATTGGTAGGCGTGGTCCAATGAAATGGCCTGCTCGTTCACAGGATTTGACTTCTCTCGATTCTTTTTTACAAAAATTTTGTACAACTCGCAACCGCACTGTATAACAACGCGTAATAAATAATAAGTATATATCGTTTGTCAGAAAACTCTCTGA